CATTTAAAAATCTTTCTCGAACTCATCACCAGCAAGCTGTGTTGGGACTGGATCTTTCACAATCCTGCAATAGATTTCTTGAAGTTGGAAATGGTCAGGTTACAGGATAACCATTAAAAAACACCTGTATCTCTGGTGAATCGGAATTCAGTGTACTCTTCCATAGGGGTATGAAAATTCTTGCAAGACAACCCACAGTGTTCCCTCTAAGAAATATTCTAGGTCAGGGTTCTCCAGAGTGGTCAGTGTTGACCCCCAAGGGTTGATGGGACTATCCAAAGGGATCAATATTATTATTATCATTATTCATAACACTATTCGTTACAATAGTATTTATTAAATTATTTTCATAGAATAAATGTTTGGGGGTCAGTGAACAATCAGAAACTTCATGAATGGGTCGATGAGCTGAAGAGTTTGGGGACCCCTGCTCTAGGTGGATTGTACTCACGCCATGGGAGGGTCCCACTGATAGACATTGCTTATTGCATCTCAGAGTGTGTATAAGGTCAGGTGCTCCTTGAGCAGAGTTTGACTCCTAGTGGCTTACAAAACACATTTAAACAGTCTTCTTAGTAGCAGTACAAAACTGACTTGCCACTGCCTTCCTAGTTTGATCTACAGCCCTGGGATTTCTGATGGTCTCCTATTTGGGCACTAACCAGCTGCAACCCTATTAGTGTTTTTCCAAGATCTGGGTTCTAGTGCTGTTGTAACAAAAATGTTTTTCAAGAACAAAACCACACGATCACCACATATTTAACAATATATATTTAATATATAATTTCTAGATCAGTACATTCAGTTTAATGTGTTTTTCTTCACAAACAGAAGAACTCTTACAATAGTAAATTTCTAAAATAAATACTATTAAAATAGAGCTTCGAAATAAATATTCTATACAAAGGAAAACTTCTGTGGTAATTTTTTCAGTTGAGGAAAGAAGTGAAGAAGAGGGAAACCTGGACTGCTCTCTGTAAAGTTTAATAAAAATAACCTAACCATGCACAGAGCTCAGGACAGTAACTTGGGTAGGAGAAAGAGCAGCTATTTTACTTTACTAAAGCAATGAGAGACCGAAATAGCAAGTGCTGTGCCCCTGTGTGCCCACTTTCCATCTCCTTGCTTTGTATAGAATTATGCTGCAGGGCATCTCTTTGAAGAAGTAGTGTGTTTGCTGTATCCCTGACTTGGTGTGCATTCTTCTTGTCTGTTGAAAGATGAAGGTGCTACCCACCTGAGAGGAGCCTTCAGGACAAGTGAATCACTGAGGGAAGGGAAGGGAGGAAGAGGAGGAAGCAAAGAGATCAAGGACAGGGAATCTGAGGTTTCTTAGATGTGGCTGAGCAACAGCTTCAAGCATCTTCCACCCTGGCCATGCTGGGGCTGATAGTCAGCTCTGTCAGGAGGGTCGCAGGTTCCCTGCTTTCTCCATGGATTCATCTGTCTAGATTGCACTTTGATCCTTTTCAACAATTTCCTTGTGAATCAGGATCCAGCCTGACTTGCTGGGAGAGTGTAAGGAAGTTCTCTGGATTAGCCAGTCAGATTGGCACTTAATTTCACATGGATGTGGCGGTTCTGTCTCTGTAACTCTTGAGAGGGTGGTGGTCAAAAGGGTGAGTGGGGCAGAGGAGAAGAGGATCAGCCATAGAATTGAAAGGGCAAAAGAGTGGGAGTGGCAGGGGAGGAACTGTGCAAGCAGAGCATTCAAGAAGACCATCTCAAAGGAATAGTGTGATGTGGTTCAGGTTGGTCTAACCCAGAAAACTTTCAATACTCAGCAAGAAACTTGTCAGTAGTGTTGCTAGGCCTCGAGGAAATTGCTGTAGAAACATGCAGATCGACTGCTACACAGGAGGGCTGGCTGGGAGGAGGGGGGAAGCAGTGGAGGCTGGCAGCTGAATTCCGCCTGCATTTTCAGAGTCTTCCTTTCCATGGACTTTTTCACACATGATCCATTTCCAATACGTTGATATCAATAGATTAAAAACAAGTTTCAAAAACCCACACAGCAATTTAAGTGGTTTTCAACTATGTACAGTAAAAGTAAAAGCCCCAAGTTTTATTCCTTAAAAAGTCTAAGAAATATAGACAAATGTGAAAGGTCAAAATGTTGATCCACCAGTTTAGATGTTCTGTTTGTTTGTCTCATTATGGACAACCACACTTGCTAGAATTTTTTTAAAGTATTGCTTGATCAGTACTGCTGCACACTAATAGGAACAAAAGAAACAATAAGACAGCATTTCCAGCTTAGTGACCTCCAGATGTTTTGGACATCAATTCTCCTGCTGTCGGGAGGATGTTGGAGCTGAAGTTCAATAAATCTGGAGGACACCACTTTGAGAAATGCTGTAATAAAGCATTTAGGTTATGGATAGTGCTATGTCATTGCCCTGAATATTGACAGGTATGGATACATTCAACAATATGTTGGCTAAGATTATCTTTTCTCCTCACTCTGCCCTCCCCGTGTGATTCTCTCAAGTACTTGGAAGAACATCCATAAAACATACTGAGCAGAATCCAGCAGGAACTTGTAATCTCCACTGAAATGAATGGAAGTAGAACAAGAAGACTCTTGCAGATCAATCCCACCATTCATCTCAATGGACAGAGGTTTCCAATCCACCCAGTGTCTCCTTGGTAAGGCTAAGCTACAAAGATCAAGGACTCATAAAACAAATTAAATTCTTTTTCCTGTAAAATAGAAGAACATATAAAAATATTAAAAATAGTTTCCAGCCAATAAATATCTACCATTCTAAACAAACACTCCATCATGAAAAAAATAAAAAGTGAGCATATTCCTCTACCTACCTACCCCTAAAATAATAATAAAACTGGCTCCTTTCTCTCTGTATAGTTGATTAATTTTGTACCAGAAATCATATTTGGTTGAGAAGGTGCCATGGGGTTTTTCTAATTAAACAGAGAAGTACTCTTCACTTTTACAGACCAGCTTTTTACATGCCCGTCATTTCCATTTGTTCTGTAGTATCAGTGACTTTCTGTTTAGCTTTTTGTAATAAGGTTAATCCACTGGCCTTGAGTAGGGGTGCTTCCCCCCTAAAAAGCATTTTAACAGCCTTTGTTGCTGTCCAAGTACAGAGATTAACCTTGCCAACCTCAAGCCCTTCAAATATATTCCACTCCATTTTCCATCCCTCCCAGTCAGCACTGGAGCAATAGGACTTGCAATCCAACCTACCCAGGGGGCACCAGTTTGAGGAAGTTTGATATTGATAGATGAGACCTAGAAAGGGGTGGCTGACCAAAGCTATAGGCACTTTATCAGAAATATGCCCCTCAAGCTTTTCTTTCTGCAAAGCACTTAAAACATGTTAGCAAGCCTTCTGTAAGAACAGAGGCGTGCTACTTTACAGAGGACAGAAAATTAAGCAGCCACTGACTAATGTGAGAATTAAAATACTGAGTGAATGCTATTTTGTCAAAAACAAGTCCATTTTGAAGAGAGTTTGGGATTGCCTTGGTACATTTCCAACTGCCCAAGATACTCAAATATATTGTGCTTGGTTTGAACTAAACCTTCAGATGCAGAGGGGAGGATAATTCTTAAGCTTCAACTCAAGCATGTGTACCACCTGATTTGATAAAGTACAATTTATTTCAGGAGAATGGAACTACTTACATTTATCCTGAAAGTACTGGTGAGATTAGTGCCCTTGAGATTTATGTTCAGTTTTCCTTCTTCTTCTTTTGCATAGCAGTATCTTATTTGTGCAATACTCTGAATGTGCAATAATGATCAAGCAACATAATGCACTATTTCAAATGTACACTCAGAATCTTCTGTGTCTGAAATGGTATGCAAAAAGGGGCTTAAAGTTCTAGGAACTCTTTTTGGTGGACATTCTCTGACCAAGCCAGGCTGTAGCTTTCAGACTTGCTCCAGCATTTAAACATCAAAAGCCTTAGATTACCATTTGCCCCTACTGACATTAATGGATGGAGTTCAAGCTGGTGGCTGCTGATTTGAATTCTTTGTGGAACTGGCAAAAGGGAGTTCACCCTTCCGACTATTTCTGTTACATGAGACCAAGTGACACTAATGAGGAAGTAACCCATTAGTTAGAATATATTTGTTTGTGGTGATCACTCTATAAAGGGGAAAGAGAGAGAGAATGAGAGAGAGAGAAAGAGAAGGTAGACTTGGAAAAGGGAGAATTGGGACATTTGCTCATTATTCAGACTTTCAAGACTGAGTCTTAATGGCAGTAGAATCAACAGGAGTTAAAGGCAATGCTAACCCAGGTGTTAAGCTCATCCAGGGCATTTAAACCTCTTTGGGGGGCAGAATGCCTTACCCCTGAATCTACCCATCTAGTCAGCCTTGAATCCTTTATTCAAGTTTAAATACACTGTGGAAGCTTAATATCTGAGAAGAGTTACTGATTTCTACATATTCAGAAAGATTATTTTTAAAAGAAGTACTCTCACAACATACAGACACAACAGTGACAACAACAAAATGAGGTGGTAGGGAACTTTCTTGTTAAAGCCTTGAGGGAAACTTAACCCTTACTGCCCACAACCTATAAATATGTTAAGAGGATGGTGGCCCTGAACTGAAGTCCTGCTTCCAATTGCTGATGTACATGCCAAGCCTATTTCTGATTTATTCTTGCAATCTCTAGATTGAGCTAACTGCCAGGACTAAGAATTAGGAGAGGAGATATCTTCAAATTGCTCTATGTAGTCTGTTTTGACTCTTACACTGCAAAATATCAATTTCCTTCCTTCCTTCCTTCCTTCCTTCCTTCCTTCCTTCCTTCCTTCCTTCCTTCCTTCCTTCCTTCCTTCCTTCCT